AAAAAAAAAAAAAAAAAAAAAAAAAAAAAGTTATTACAGTTTAGCTGCAAGCTGCTTCACAGAATAATTTTTATAAATGTTACACATGAAGGCTCACAAATGTAGCAAATCCTCATTATTTGGTTGTTTCAAAGTTTATTTAATCTGAAAATAGGTGGGTTTGAGGAGAAATGTTAATCATTTGGGCCTTTTAGGTTGCTGACTTGCTAAGAGTCTCTTTATGAGAAGTTGTCTTTTTTGAATGAATGTCAGGATTCATTAACTTACTGTTTAAGGTCTGTTTCATTTTCAGGTTCTTTAGGAAATGTGAAATAGTAAAGTTTTTTCTTACACAAACAAGTCAGCAGTAATCTCCTTTACAATTAATGCTTAGGTCAGGAATTGCAGTTCTGCTAACATGCTGTTATAAAAGTTGCTTTTACCTGAACAAAATGTTATGATATTTCAAAGTTCTAAAGAGAGGTATGTTTAAGGGTAAGCAACATGATTTCTTACAAAAAAAATCCTATAGGTGAAAAGTTTGGGTTTTTTAAGAGAGTTAAGGGCATATCAAGAAAAATTAGTCACTTAATCCACTACTTTTTTGTTAGTGTCAAACAAAAGCAAATGAAATCTCATAATGGATGTTTGAAAGTTGGAGACTTATGACTTAGTGCCTCTTTGAAAATTGTAGATATTTTCCAACTTGGAAAAGAAAAAAACTACCATTTGCATTCAGCTGTTTTGTTTATTTTTCAGTGCAGTCTCCTTTGGCATCAATGTACTTGGTCTAGTGCAACTGCAGCTTGGCTGTGCCATCCTCTAGACTTCCTTTGTCCCACATATCCAGAATTTCCTTGGCTGCTGCAGTTACCTCATCATGGAAATTTCCCATACAGGTCTTCTGTCCATCACCTTGAGGATCAGGTAGAAGTCTGAGAGAGCCAAATCTAGTGAATAGGCTGGATGAGGAAACTGATCAAAGCCACTTTTGTGAAGTGATGCATTGTTTTGGAAAAAAGCACTCTCTGACTCCATCTTCCATGGTGCTTGCTCTTGTTGGTTTCTTGCAAGCAGCAGTTGACTAACAGTAGTCTCTGTCATTGAAAGTTAGCCTTTTTCTATCCCAGAAAACTTTGGTCATGGCCTTAGTGACTGATGCCAACTTCTTGAATTTCTTGGGAGAGAAGTGGGAACCATGTGTGCTTCCACTGCATGTTCTCAGGTTTAGTCTTAGGATCCTGGGTCAGATCCTGCCTTGTGAATTTTTCTGGGTCTCATTGAAACAGCGCTAAAAGTTACCTGGAAATATCAGGTTGCACTTCCCTTCTCTTTTCATTGGTGATCAACACTCTGGGTACCCCCCTTTCTGAATCCTTTCTCATGACCAAGTCTTTTATTGAGGATTTTACTTAGTGACCTACTTCTGATGCCCACCGTCTCTGCTAAGTGCCTGACCTTTAATCATTTCATTCATTACCATTTTTGACTCTTTATCAACTTGTTCAGGTGTGATGGCTTATTTTTGGGTGTCCTGACCTTGGTTTATCCTCAGTGCTGATTCTCCCTTACTTAAACACACCTCTGCAGGTTTTTTACTGTAGCATACGATGGATATTATCCTCCAGTGTTTCCCGGGGTTTTACTTTTTGGGTCCAGCCTGTCTTTGGGTAGTAAACAAATGCCTTCATAGTTTCATGTGAAAGGAAAGGATTTCTTGGGGTGATATCTTTTATTGGACCAACTGTGTAGTTGGAATTGAGTTAGGTAAGCAGCATGAAAGCTTGTCTAGCTATCCCAACTACACAGTTGGTTCAATAACCACCTTAAGAAACATCTTCATAATTTCGTTGTTTTCCATGTCTCAGTTTTTCAATTGCTGATTCACTTTACATTGTCCTCATTATATGCCATATTTTTATCTGTATCAAATTATCACTATTTTCAAGAGAGATTGCCAGAGCTCAGCCATCCCTCAGACCAGTGTCCTTTCCTGCTTGTCCATGTAGGAACTAATGATACTGCCAGGGATGCAACTGAGTAGATCAGAGGAAACCAAGGCTCCTGGTAAGAAGATTAAGGGATTTGGAGTGCAGGTGGTATTTTCCTTGTGTTTTTGAAGGTAGGGCCCCAGGAAGAAACCATCACATCCATGGAGACAAGCACCTTGCTCAAAAGGTGGTGTAAACAGGAAGGTTTTAGATTCTTTGACAATGGGCAAATATTTTGGGGATTGCTATTGAGAGACGGGATCCAACTGATAAGGACTAGACCTTGTCCCCTGGTTAACCTAGAAAGGAGGGCTTTCAACTAAGGTCCTATGGAGTATGGTAAACAAAACCCTCCAACTACAAGGCAAACAATCCAGAGAGAAGTGGATCATCAAAAAAGGGGTGCAAGAAGGAAACAAATTGGTTGAAATGCAAAATATATGAGATGCATGTATGTAAATGCAAGGAGTATGGGGAACAAACAGGATAAGCTGGAAGTCAAAGTCTGTAAGTAAAACTATGACTCAGCTGGCATTGCAAAGAGTGTGATAACACTTGTGACTGGAACATCAACTTCTCCTTTGGAAGGATTCATTAGGGAGGAAAAGGATGTGATATTGCATTACAGGTCAAAAATGTTTGTATTTACCCAAATACATGTATTTGGGTGAAGATAAAGGGAGAAAAGTACAGTGTTGGTATTTATGATGGGGAGTTTTTTATATGCCACCAAATCAAGAAGAAAAGGTAGATAAGGCATTCTTTAAGAAGATGGCAATATTATCCAAAATTATGTAGTGAGAGTGATGGAGGATTTTAACTTTCCAGATATCCAGAAAGAATAATACCACTAAACATAATGTCAAGCAAGTTCCTAATGTGTGGAGGATAAGCTTTTGTTCTGGAAAGTTAAGGATAGGACTTGGGAGATCATCCATCTTAGATCTTGTCTTGACAGATGGGAAAGAATTGGCTGAGAATGTGGAAGTGATGGGGAAACATAGGAGGAAGTGGTCACAGTATGACTGAATTAATTATTTTAAGATGGGGAAAGCACAAGGTCAGAAGAATCAAGATACTGGGTGTTACAAG